GTTCTAATTTGTATACCGCCGCCGTTATCAACTCTTCTCTTATAGCATTAATAAAACGACAGATACTGCAAGAGGCTGGTCCTAAATCAACTAAATTGTGTCGATGGCTTCGTAAAAAAGCTAAAATCGCTTTTTTTGCAAGACCACTTTATACATAACAAAATACAGTTGAACGTGAAGCCTCAAAAACAATACTGGAAATATTTGACTCTCAACGTTTAGGGCATATACTGTCTTTAAAAAATGCGCATTAAAATTCGTCTCTCATTCAATAGGTCAAAACAGACTCTTCGAAACCTGACAGCAACGGAAACTTTTCTTCTCGAAAAATAATTATCTCCTTTTACCCTTCCTGGTCTCTAATCACGTCCTGTCGTCTGCTTTCGTCTCCGCTTTCAGCTCCCCCCCCTCCTCCTGGCTTCTGACCCTTTCTGTTGCCTTTCTACTGCTACTCCTTGGCTCACTGCTGTCTTTCAGCCACATCCCTGATTTTAGGGTAGGTAAGATCTAACATCAGCCTTCTCAGATAAAGGCGAAAAAATCTCTGAGGTCGCGTGTGCAAGTTGCGCACATTAAAGATTCATTGGTGGTTTTAAAATCTATAAGAGTAACCCTTGGTCGACATCTGGGCAAAATTAAAAATTAATTCCGAACAAACTAAAAATGCTTAATGTATCCTGCGCGCTTATATTATGACCTTAATTAAGCAGTTGCAAGCGCTGTAAAACACTTATTACTAAAACAGACAAACAAACAAACAGACAAAGTGCTCCCCCCAACCACCCTAAAAAAACAAAACAAACAAACACACAAGCAAACAAACAAAACAAAAACAAAACAAAACACAAATTAACAATAAACCCCAACAAAACTGTCTCCTCAGATAATGCCGTAACAGAATGCACAGCCCCCGCCGGCTTCTGTAGTGTCGCGGTTACACGCTTTTTTGTCGCATGCATAAGGGCTGAGTTCGATTCCCATGTGGAGATATATTATGATTTTTATCGAGTATCTCGATCCTTGTTCTGGAACGTTGCTGCAATGCATCCCTCTCAGCTCAGGGTGGTCCTGACAGGCAAAGTTGATGGGAGCGTACCAGACCCACATAAAAAGCTACATTTTGTACAACATCATGAATTCATTATAGTTCATGACAAGCAGTTTGTCAGTGAACCCTTAACACATACCTGGACGAAACTCACGGCCAGTGAGAGAAACAACCGTCGTTTTTGGTATCATAGCGTAACTTTTGTGAACTGAGCATTAGCGAAAAGCAAGGAGGCACCCCCCACCCC